TGAGTGTTTTCCCCCGCTGCAATCCTCAATGTCACGGCCACAGGTAAGTACCGGCCCTGAGGGCCCAACGGACGAACAAGTGCCCTTGCGGGTCACACACACACACACTCAAGCCATCAAGCACTCAGACAGAGATGCAGACCAGCAAGCATGCACACACACAGACTTAGAGAACTAAGTAGCTAGCGGGAAACTCAGCAAGGCATTCAGTCCATGGGCAAAACCCAGAAATCAGCTCTGTGTCTCAGTCCGTGTTTGGTCAGGTCATCACAGTTGTCATTTCTCGAATGTCAAGGTTCTCTTTTCCCTCTCTTCCCTTTTAATATCAAGAAGAAGAAGAAGAAGAAGAAGAAGAAGAAGAAGAAGAAGAAGAAGAAGAAGAAGAAGGAGGAGGAGGAGGAGGAGGAGGAGGAGGAGGAGGAGAAACGTTTCTTGTAATGTAAGATTTCCTCCTCCTGCTGAGGCCCTCAGGGTATGTGTTATGTGATAAATGATTAAAAAGTAATAAAAACCAACTCTGCCATGCTGTGAGGGTGACATGGCCATGCACAGTTAATAGTGCCCTCTTATCAGCGCATCCAGTGCTCAGAAGGCTTGAGCCCCTTCACATGCGTACAGTGAATGCCATCAAGAGTCTGCGCTTAACTGCACACTATTCTGCCAATTCTGCTGCTATAGGTTCAGTGTTGCCTTTTGCAGACTTCCTGAAGGTTTTTTGCTGGTTGGTGACCCTGGTTGCTCTCAATGGCACCTGCCACCATTTTCTCTCTTGCTATTCTTTCTCCATTGGTGGTCGTGGTGGTGGTGGTAATTATGTTTGTTTGTTTGTTTTGTTTTTTTTTTGTTTTTTTTTTGTTGTTGTTGCTGTTGTTGCTGTTGTTGTTGTTCGTCATTGCTGTCAGTGTTGTTGTTGCAATGCCTTCTTCTTCTTCTTCTTCTTCTTCTTCTTCTTCTTCTTCTTCTTCTTTCTTCTTTCTTCTTCTTCTTCTGTCTTCTTTTGTCTTCTTTCTTCTTTTGTCTTCTTCTTCTCCGTTTTCTTGTTTCCATCATGGTGGCCATCATCGTTGTAGTTATATAGTAATAGTGCTGATTGTATTGTGTACAGTGGTAGTCGTAAGTTTGAAAGTTTCATGGCATGATTTTGTTTCGTTCTGTGTGAATTGGCAGTACTACATTTTCATGTACGTAGACGCACCTAGTTACCAGATTCTCAAGAATTTAAATATCATCACAACGGGAGTACTTTACAGGATCTTCTTGAACAAAAGGTGAAAATCTCAATCAAGTGCTTTATGCCTCCTCTCAAACTCTGATTCCAGATATATATAAAAAAATGCTTACAATTCTTGGACCTTTTCCTTCCTCCCCTCCCCCTCCCCCCCCCCCCCCCCCCCCCTTTTTTTCCTTATTCATGATGTTTCCTTCTTTTCACTATTTAGTATTTACTATTTACTATTTAGTATTATTTAGCTCATAAGACGTGGGATATGCGCTATTATGCAGTCAATTTTGAGGGCCAACGACATTGAGGGGGAAAAAAAAATTCTTTGAGAACAATCAAAACTTTTCAAAAGTGCAATCCTAGGAACTTATCACTTAAGCCACCAGCACTTGCCGAAATTACCGCCGTATATGCACCGCACCAGGATGCACTGGGATGTACCTGGCTGCTGTGCGAGGATAAATTCATTCATGACGAACCGCGGTGGCACGGTAGCACTGATGGGACTGTAATTTTGGGGAATACTGGTGGTTTAAGTGTACATTTGAAAGATGATAGTTAATTATTTATTCTAATTATTTTCATGTTTTTATTAATTAATTAATTTATTGTGAATGGAGAAGATGATAGAATTAGGGCTTCATAGTTTTTTGGGATGTTCCATGGGTGTTAGTTCATTGGGCCCATTCTCGGGCCTGCTCGAGATGTTGGAAAAAAACAAGGTTAAATAACTGCAGTCTGCAGGATCACAAAAAAAAAAAAAAAAAAAAAAAAAAAAAGGGTACCCTCGAGACTTGGATGGGACAGGCTTTTGGTCCTGGTCACACCGTCACGAAAACGTTTTACTCCACCTACCGGTTGTTTGTACCGGGTTCACAGAAACAGTGTGATCCGGTCACACCGTCACGCAGATTCCAAGTTCCAGCCCAAAGTTGAGTTTTGTCACTTGGGACTTCTGAAACAGTTCGGGCCCAAAGGATTCTGGGACCCGAATGGGAATACCTTTCTTAAAGTTTTTTTCAACCTTTTTTGGGGGGAAAGATTTTCCAGAATTTTGCACTGTTGCAGGGCCAACTCTGGGACTTGACCTCAAAGTTCTCTCGGATTCGTTGTCCCCTCTAGTTTGTTATCTTGCTAGCTTTTGGACTTCAGGAAGTAGGCCTCAACATATTTTGGCTTGCAGGCCCAGGTTGGTAGAGCCCATGGCGCATCATCAGTTACTGATGGAAGGACCAAGTAAGAAGTTTTTTTGTGGGAAGTTGCCCAACTCTTTCTTCTTCTTCTTCTTCTTCTTCTTCTTCTTCTTCTTTTTCTTCGTCGTCGTCGTCGTCGTCGTCGTCGTCGTCATGGTTCGTCTTCTTCGTCGTCTTCTTCTTCGTCTTCTTCTTTCTTCCTTGTTTCTTTTTTCGTGGGTTCGATCTGAGTTCACAATGAAAGGGATTTGTTTCAAAGTGGTTCGTTCTCTGTATTTTCTGCTTGCCTGTACATGCTCTAAATAAAAATATAAAAATAATAAAATGTCATTGTTTATATTACGTTCAAGTTTCCTTTATTACGTTTAAGTTTTTTTTTTTTTCCGTCTTCTACAACAACAACTACTACTAGTCTACTAGTACTACTACTACTTTTTTTTAACTATTTTTTTTTGCCAAAAAGGGGTGCAGTTTTATTATATGTCGTATTATGTCCAAAAAAAGGAGCCCGGGAATTCGTCAACATCTCAACCCGGAGTGTACTGGGGCCATTACCAAGGTAGGCTTGTGCTGGAAACGGGGTCCAGGGTCCCATTAACAGCAGTGAAAAAACACAAGCAAGCGTTATGACGCCTAACAGACACAAAAGGGACGAACTGTACTGCCTGCAACGGAGGCCTATTCTTTTTTTTCAACTGAGATTTGCAGCACAGTCGATACATCAGAAGATGTCAATGCTTCCAGCTTCTAAGTCTGAATAATGAGGAGGGGCCCGTGGGGGGCAGGGGGAAGGACAGTAGAGGGGGGGGGGGAGGAGAGTTGCAGTAGGGAGAGGTGTTGGTCTCTTACAGGCACTCGTGGCACACAATTTAACTGGTCGCAGGAGGGGGGCAGGGGAAGCTTAGGTGTGTTTCTTGCATGGTGCCGCAGTTGCTACCGTCTTCACCCGTATTCAACGCCTGGTCGTTATAGCTGTATTTGGTGCAACTTTCAGTCCAGATACGGCGACAATTACCGTGCGTTCTATTCGGGTGAAGACGGTAGTCATTTTTGCTCTGGCAGACCAACCCCATCCCTTACTTCACATTTGTCTGCAAGTAGACCTCGGGAACAGACCCAGTCCTTGTGGCTGAAGCATGCATGGTACAGTAACATTAGGGGCTATTCACGTAAAAAAA